ATCAAGCATGATACAGCTCTAATGGAACAGAAGCCACAGTCGATGAGCTCAGTCTGTGCAGTCAAGCAGAACAACTCCGAATTGAAACCATCTGGACCAAAACCTAGCACCCCGAAGAAACCATGTTGGCAATGTGGCGGGATGCATTTCGTTCGCCACTTCTTGTATTCGGATCACGTTTGCAATGACTGCAGTCTGACCGGTCACGGCGAAACCATCAAGCAAGAAGACATGGAAGATCAACGGTGTATTCGCTATCAATCAAGTAGAAAGCAAATCCAGCCGGAAGTTTCTGACCGCGAAGATCAACGGCAACGAAGTAGCTCTGCAGTTCGATACAGCTTCGGACATCACGATCATTTCTCAAGAACAGTTGAGCAAAACGCTTGGTTCGCCTCCACTACTACCTACCACGAGGTCAGCTAAAACAGCATCTGGTAAGCCAATTCATACTTGGAGAGGCCATCGAAACAGCTACATACTATGTGGTCAGCAACAATCTCAATTCGTTCGGCCTGGAGTGGATTGAATTGTACAAGTTGTGGGACAACCCATCGTCAACGATATGCAATCATGTTCCTACGGACCAATCAAGTGAAATTGAACGATACAAAGCAGCATTTCCCGCCGATTTCCGTCAAGCAATTGGACACTGCAAGAAACCGAAAGCGAAGCCAGGGGCTAGACCAGCTTACAGACCAAAGCGGCCCGTGCCATTCACATCAGTGGAGAAGATCGACGCTGAACTGAACAATTTTTGGATTCAATACTTCAACCGTGAATTTCCGGCGAAGTTCTGCCATGGATTCCTCACAGCGCACATATTTTCAAAACATTAGCTAAACATCGGCCAAAAGTCAACGCGGTATGCTTGCGGGATGAGCGAGGTCATCAAAGCGATGACCGTTGCCAAATAGAATTGTAATCTGGGGGTGATACTGGAATCCTTCCGGATGGTGCTGGAGTCGCCTATGGAAGACTTCGAGATCGGAGAACCTAAACTTAAGCTGATTGAACTGTTCAAGGATCTGGTGCGGAAGGCTTTGGAGTTTCAGAACAGTTTGTACGAAGTTCACCTCCGATATGCCGGCTCTCCCTGATGGTGGATCGTTGTCTGTTCGCAGATGACACATCCATCGTCTACAAGGGTAGGGTCATCGGAGCTCTGACTGCCACACTTCAGAGAGGCCTGGACGTCCTGTCTGAATATTTCAACAACTGGAAGATCCGTATCAACGCGGCAAAGGCCCAGGTCATCATATTTCCACACTCAAAATCTCCCAGACATGTTCCGCCTGAGAATAATAAGATCTGCTTAAACGGCTCAATGGTGGAATGGTCCAAAGAGGTCGTGTACCTCGGGCTAACACTAGACAGCAAGCAGCACGTTGACAAAACCAAAACCAAGTGCAAAATCTTGATAAGATCGTTGTATCCACTCATCAACAGGAGGTCTACCCTGTCCCTGAAAAATAAGCTCGCTGTCTACAAACAAATCATCCTTCCCGTAATAGAATACGGGATGCCAATCTGGGAGAGTTGCATCAAATGCCATCACCTCAAACTCCAAAATATCCAAAACAAGATCCTTAGGATGATCCTTAACAGTCCCCCGCGGACTAGAAATTCTGAGGTCCACCGCCTGGCTGGTCTTCAGACACTGGAGTTACGGAGAGCTAACTCCATCGCAAGGTTCAATCAAGATCCGATCAACAGATCGTCAGGGATCTGGCACGTTAGGTTAAGTTAGGTTAGGTAGGTAGAATAACAAATTAAAACATTCAAACAACATACTTCACAAAAAGAAAATTGAAAAACATTACACAGTAAAACACAACATGTACAACACAAAATCAAAAAGTTCACCAAAGATGAAGAGCCCTTCTGGCTAACCACTTGCCCTGTATTAGCAATTGTAAACCACATAACAGATCAAAATAAAGAAGAATTTTAGTACTACTACAGTAATTGAGAAAATATCCCTTGAATTCATGGAGCATTGAAAAATAAAACAAAAGCTAAGATGTGGTGGTAAATTGAAACGAAACAAAGTTTGGTGCACAGGAGAAAAATTGAGGCACGCGACGCCTCTAGTTCAGATTAAAAATGGCCGAATTACCGAGGTCCATGGTAATATAAAATGTCTTGATAAAGTTCCTCGGCGTATTGGCAATATATTCTATTCGAATTTTGAAGTATTCTCGCATCACTTTTCAAATAGACCAATGTAACATATCCATCATTTTGAGAAAATCGAAGTTGAAATTCGACAGATTATTATTTTTACTGTTTAAAAACAATACATTTTGCAATACTATTTCTAATGTAGTCAGTCAATAATAACGTTGAAAATTCAGTACAAACGGTAAAATCGCAATTTTACTTTGAATGTCATGCTACAATATAGAAAAAAAAACCACATAAAACGTTTTGACAAGTCAAATTGTACATCGGACATGTTACATTGGACGATTTTTCTCAATGACATAATCAATGAGTGTTACATTGGACGTTTTGCCAATATGATACTAGATTCCCTTTCACAGATTTCAGGGTAGAATACCTAAATTTAGATTGGCCCGCCTTTAGAAAATGAGCACCAATCACGTTAGGCAGCCCGAATAACCGAAGTAACAATCATGTAGTCATCATTTCACACTGTACATTGGACAATTTTGGACCTTTATTATCTTAAATAAATGAAAGTATATTTGGATGGGTGTTTTTGTATCACATACATAGATAGAAGAGCAATAGTTTGCATCACTTAACTCGATTTGTTTACATTTGTTACTTAGGACCTTTTAAAAAGTTACGCGAGCATTGTTCGATGCTTTATACTAGATTTTTTTAATTTCCTGAGAATTCCAGGTCTTTTCCATTAAAAATAGAATTCCCTGAAGATTCCTGTCTGTACAAATTCGTTATATATTTTCAAAGTTTTCACTGAATTATAAACTTATACCGAACAGTTCCATGGTTCTGAAATTACCGAACAGCGGAGGCCTGGAATAGTGTGTACATGTGCAAAATATAATAACATTTTATTTACTTTGACTATATGTTTAGTATTACTTCTGCGTGAAGTCAACGATTTACATTGTTGAAGATGCTAATTTCAGACTAAAGTGATAATTTTTATACTATAGATGAGGAGATGAAAGTATAGAATTGATAGTTCCGTTAGAGTACGGTAGTGTGAAAATTGCATATAGAGAGAAGTAGAAAGGTACAAATCGGTTTGATCATCTCTCTTTACCAAACTCCCCCGTTGGAGTGGAATGGTGAGGGGTATTCCACCCCGCCACCACTGGCAAAAAGAGATGATCGCCGATTCGCTCATGTACCGACGATGTGTTTGAAACAGTTCTATCGATTTTTACCGCACTTAAGTTGTTATCTGAAGGAAAACATCCAGTCGTAGGTTTGAAAATTGCAGCTATTGTTACCTCTACCACGGTATGTGCTCCTGTCATCGTCGACTTGACGATCTCGAGGGACACGGGTAGGGTAGGTGCTGCTACTGTACCTTTCGACCAATGACAGTAATTGATGGTATGCTCCCATCCAGAGTTATGTACTTTGACTATATGTTTAGTATTACTTCTGCGTGAAGTCAACGATTTACATAGTTGCTAATTTCATGCTAATTTCAAATAACATACTAAAGTGGTAATTTTTATACGATAGATGAGTAGATGAAATTTTATGATTTCAAAAATCAGAAAATCATTTATTTGTATTGCAAATAATGAATGGCAGCAACCTTGGTAATACCTCTATGGTAGATAAAGCGATCCATTTCAAGAACCAACACTCTTTGCTTCCCCAATAATATTTGTATGGTTATTTTGCTTAACGACGTGTTCAGGGTATCATTCAAACCATTTGTGGAATAGTTTTATCGTTTGGGTTATCGTTCTGGTGTGGTATTTTTCATTAGGATTGCTTGCTACATCGTTGTCTTGCCTGGCATTTATTCGAACTCTTCTAGACAAATGTTTTCCAGGTTTAATAATTCACCATGGAAATCTTGCTTTTGATTTTACATTCTGGCATCCCTGGAATCCTTACTTTGAAGTCCGCAACAATGTGTGGAAAAATCAAATCAAATGCTTATGTCATTTTCACGATGAAAATGTATGTTCAATTTTTGATCAAGATTGATGACCTTGTGCGGACGAAACGAAAATAATCAGCCTAGAAAATGGGCTTCCACATTCCATTCGAGCGAAATTCCATCTGCTCAAAAGTTCATCCACCACCAAAAGGGATCCGCCGTTGTGTTTGTTTAGCCGAACATGCCCTTTTTTGCTTTATCATTCCTAAACGTTGACCTTTGTTAAATCCCATTCTGCCCGATACTGGCGCTTCTGGCATAACTGGCGAGTGTATCATTTTTCAATACCTAAAAAAGGTTCCTCTCCACTCACACTCATCATAATATTATACAGGCACTCTTGAACGGTGTTGTGTTGATTGACCGATTGAGTCATCGCATCGTTGTTGCACTCCCGAAACCACAAAATTTGCGCACTATTTTTATTTATTTTTCCCAAATTTTGTGCTCGTCACACCAATACACTCGTGGCATCGAGCGACGACCATCGTCCGTCCAGCCTGGGCGGCTGATGCTGTTTCCTTGCCATCGCTGTCCGCTGCCGCGCGCGACGATGTTTTTTGTTTGCGTTTCATTCACGCGGGCTGTGCTCGTCACGCACACCAACAAGGAGCGTCGATTTTTCCTTCCTCTCTCGCACACGTCAAAAATCTGCGACTTTTGGCTGGCGAAAATTCCACAATAATTTTCTTTGGGGCAATGCAATAAATTCTATAAAGGGCCATCATTGGTTTCAGAAGCCTGTCAAAACACAGCCCTCCCCCTGAAACAGGAGCTTCCCATTTTAATAGAAACCGCCCAACCTTCAGGGGCCGTACCTTAGCGCAAACTGCCGTCGTTTTTATTTCCGAAATCAAATGCAAACTTTCGATATACTAACCTTACTAACATCATCATCGCCATCTTGATCAATTTCTTCATTGTCTAATAACGTTGATGCCTTCGCTGACGGCTGCTGATTCTGTTTTTGTTGTTGTTGGTGCTGCTGCGATTGTATTAGTGATTGATTCGACTTTTCCGTCGTCGAATTTTCCTGCTGCTGATGCTGATTATTATCCTCATCGCTGCTGCCACCGCTGGCAAGCGTATTCAAGCCAGCACCGGACAGGACCGAAACGCGCTTCTTGTTCACCAAACGCGACGGTTTACCGGGAAATTTTGACTTTCCCATCGTGGTGGAAAAGGTGGACGGACAGCAAATTTTTACACATCACTTGCTTTTGGCCAACCTTCGTGTTCTCCTCCCGAAAACTCTTCACACACTTCTGTTGCTCCCTCTTCTTCAAGCGCGCTCCTTGTATCCCTTTTTCTTCTCTTCTGTGTATCCCTTCTTGTTGTATTTTTATATTCCATTCGAAATAAAAACTCACAATATTCTTGCTCTTCACTACATCACAACATTTTGGATCTTTGAACGGGCACGGGCAGCACACACATACACGGAACACTCTTTTCCCTTGGGTGGGAAAGGGGGGTAAAATTCACATACACATTTGCAGTAAGGAATGGGGGACGCGCAACATGCACGGGGTTTTCATGCGGTTTCACACGCGAGAATACTTTGCAAAACACGACCGAACCGAGACACAGCACTTTCCGAACTGACACCCGAAGCCGAGAGGAAAATGGTTGACCGTTTTCGAGGCGACGGCGACAGTTGTTCGGGTTTTGCGTCAGTTGCGAGGTTGCGACGTTTGCAGGGGCGAATATCGGCCAGCTCTGGCTTTGTGAATTTCGGAACTGCTCGAAACAGATCGAAACTATTCGGTTTGAGCACTATAGGGATGCCACTCTGAAACAAAATCCATTGGCAAAAATACTATATTGCTGGTTTAAATTAAATACCCTCACCAATAGATTTTTGCAGAAAACAATTTCATTTAATTTTACTATTATTTCTATCAAAATTACTACGCATTTTGAGCAAGCATAGTAGTTTTGCTAGAATCATAGTAAATTTGTTAACATTCATGGTAAACTAAACTGAATTCATAGTAGATTTAACAGTAATAAGCGTGGTTATATTGATAATAAGTGTTTTCTGCAAAATAGTATTCCTAACTATGGACCTTGTTTCAGTGCAGGTATTTTTAGGAAAAGTATTAGCGGTTTTGTTTACGATTCAGCTCGGGTTCTCACGGATTGAAACTACACGATCAGTCCAAATCGGAACTCACTCTTCTCGTGCACCAAGTTCAAGCAAGGGTTGAAGCCTATTTCGTGACGATTCTGCCAGAATTCCTTGTTTACCGTGGTCACCGTCACCCTATATTCCGTAGTGGTGATGGTGGGTACACTGCAAGGGTTCATTTGCGATTCCGGCAGGACCATTTTCAATGCAAATGCCAAATTATCACCTATATAATCTTGATTGTTCTACTGGAATGAAATAACAGTTAGCTATGATATTTATTGTCGGAGTAAGATAAGCAAGCACATAGGGTTACGGTATGTAATGTGGGTCTAGTCCTTTCATTCGGCCTATCACGCAAATAAATAATTAATTAAGGAATATTACACAAAAAATAAGGAAAATATTGATCACTGATGATTGATAAATGTGTACCACACACAAATCAATTTATATCACAACATTTCAATACATTTTCAGCTCTCGTAAGTAATAAAACTGGTTGAGAATATCACTCTGTTCGGAGTTTTTAGCCGCCATGACTTCTAAGGTTAAGATGGGAAGGTTGCACTGACGATCATCAAATGGCCTGATTATGGCATTTATTGAATGGAATTACCTGATAATACACACTAGACGTAAAACTCACAGTTACTGTTTGAATATTTTATGTTTATTTTAATTGTTTAACAACGTTTTCACAAGTAAATCATGGACCCAACTTTAGGGACACATTTCTTTTCTATGTTCCTAACTTTGGCCCATGAAATTCATTTGACAGCATATAGCAATAAGAGTAACGTCAACAATGTGGTTTGCATTTGGATGATAAGGAACGAACAGGAAGGGAGATTTTTTCTGCCAAATCTGTATAATGAACATCACAATGTTTTGATTTAGATATTCTGCGGTCGAAAGACGATAAGCGAAATTTTTAATTTTTAATTTTTAACTTGAGTGATTTAATGTAGTTTTCGTAAAATTTTCTCTAAGAAATGTTTTGAGGAATGAAGAGTATTAAGTTAACAGTGATAGTGATAAAAAAAAATACATAAGAAAACGTTACCAAGAGCGTTTTTTTTGAGAATCAAACAGGATAGGACGAAGTTGCATCCATAAATAGACCCAATTTGGGGACAATAGACCGATATTACATACATTTCCCTGGTGAGTTTTTGTCTTAAAAAAAGTAAGTTTTTCAACTTTTTGCGGTTCCTGATAGCAAACGACATGATAAGCATATCTAAGCATACCATTTAGCAGTAGAATATCGTTTGCAGGTAAATTAATTGATGAGTTATGATTAAAAACGTAATCTATGGCTGCATATTAGACCGAGGTTAGGGACGTATACCCTACCGTTGAACAGATTAACTTCACTAGTGCCATGTAAGCATAGAGGTAACTCTAAGACTAGAAGGTCCCGAAATAACGTGCTCAACTTTTTGGCTCAGCTCTGGTACTCTCTTTGGTCCCAAGCTAATCGATTCACCCCTCGAAACATAGGAAAATCCAATAACCCCTCATTTTGTCTGTCAAACTTTCATAGCGAATCAAAACAAACATAGTGTAGTACTAGAATTTCGACTAGAATGGGATACGTTAATCGTTTGCTTGGGACCAATAGGCTAGTCAAGTAGTGAGCCAATTTTAAATCGTTAGTTTCGTATTGATTGTTGATATTAGTAAGATCCAGGCCAACAGACCTATTGGTGTTAGTGAAATGTGCAAATGTTTAGTGGTGTTTGTATTTCATTGCAATGTTTATTTTTTTTACACGTAACAGCTGTTTGAAGTGACTTAAATCTCACTGTTCGCAGTATGGAATGTTATGGTACACTGAGGAAATTCTTCATATTTCGTTTATGTGTCACACACATAGATTTTTGCAATTTGATTACACAAATGACATTTATGTGTGGGACACATATAAAGCTTCCATTTTGCCTGCAATAAATTTTATGTGTGGTCACATATAGCCATTATGGATAGTGTCAGATGAATTTCATTTGTAGATTTATATGTATTATTATTTATATTATTTTGAAATATTCAGGCTGGTATTCTATTTTATACAAATAAAACTAAAAATCCAATGTACCATGATATATTTATTCTCGGTCACTACATACGGAACAGAAACGTTTCAAAGTGCTGTAAACGTTAGTGAAATGGGCGTAAAAAAAAAGCGTTCGATGGCAACTGAAAATAGAATTGAATTCAAGATTAGCAACTCTAACCATAAAAATCATCCCATCTAACCAAATGAGCCGCCGTGCTCAACCAACGAAAGCGCTGGGATGTAGAACATATCCACAGACCGGTAAACCAGGATATCCATTCACTTCCAGCCCCATCTAGCCTTCTGCTGGCTTGGTCTTGCTCGTATAGTGCGATGAAAAAGAAATCGCATATTCAGCATGTAATCCCACAAGCTGTTGGTCAATTGGGATCAAAACTGAAACAAAATATTCAATTACTCATATTTTTCCAGGGAAATTTAATCATATTTACCATCAAATTATGATAACAGCTTCAGATAAAACAATATTTTCTAGTAGTAGTATTTCTAAAAAGAGCTTATGATCACCACTTTGAAGTTTGCTTCCCGTGGCCCAGCAGCCGGTGTATTTTTTTGCATGTGTGTCCACTAGACTGATGCAAAATTTGACTTTTTCGCTCCACAGTGCTTAAATGGTTTCAAATCGGGCCCTGATTAGCCTCCCAAAATTACAACTCATTTGGTTAGAAACAGACTTCGCACAAGCCATTTGAAGTTTACATGTAAATTACTATGGGAAATCTCAACTTTTTGTTCATTGCCTTGTAGTCTTTTTCCATATTGAGCTGCAAAACAGTTCGAAAGCCATTCTTATAAAAAAATTTCAGCTACAACTTTGCTGAAGATTGTTTCTATGTAAAACGAGACAGGAAAAAGTTATTAATTATTTAAGAGATTGGTAAACTTATGACGTGATCAAGCAGCTGCTCTGTAGGCAACACTGTATTTTGCAGTAAGACATAGTAGCCAAGACTTTTGTGTCCTATTCAACGCCCCAGAAACACCAATGTTGCCTGCTGAGCAGTTGATATAGCATGATCATAAGACATTAGCGCATTGAACCATTGATAACTTTCGATACTTGCATTTAATCAAAAAGTGATCTCCAGCAATGTTGTAGCTGGGAAAATTTACTACAAGTACAGTTGAAAGCTTTTGAAGCAGACCGATTTGGTGAATTATTAGATAGACATGAACAAAAATCTTGGTTTTACCATAGTAATTCCCATACAAACTTCAAATGGTTTGTGCCATCTCAGTTTCTCACCAAATGGGTTCAAATTTTGAGAGGTTAGTCAGGATCCGATTTGGAATCGTTTAAGTATTGTGGAGCGAAAATTTCAAATTTTGCATCACTCTAGTGTCCACACATATTTTTTGCTATTTGCCACCACACATGATGTTCATTTGAAATACACATACTTGGTATATGTATTGCATATGAAGTTTATGTATTATAAAATGTATGTGTGGAGTGTTTTTTTTAAAAAGTATGTGTGAAATCATATAAATAAAATCTTTGCCGTTTTATCAGTGTAGAGTGACGTCGTCACTTGAGTGCTCAGCAATGTTTACAAAATTTTTGCTTCTAACACGCCTGTTCGCCCGGACCTTATATAATTGTCATTGCGGAGTGACCACCCCCTTGACTCTATCAAAGTTTGTTTACATATATGTTTCGCCAAAGTATGTTTTACTGCAATTGAAAACTCAGCAGAGTCATAAAAACCTGGGTATTGCGAACTCTGTCGGTTTAATTTTTCAAGTGAGCAAGAAAACATCTTGAAAATCTTTCGAAGCTTCAAATTGTTTTGCTGAAACAGCTCACGAAATCGTATATACATGCTGTCAAATGAACTCTTGGCTTCTCCTTCTCCGCTCCACAAATAACGTATATATGGTGTTGGAAGTGCACCTGGCCACAAAGCTCACATGACTCTTATAAAGTTTGATTAAATTCTTGTTTCAGCAATTCGTAACCCAGTTTTGGCCTCGGTTTTGGCATTATTATTAAAATCAAATAAAAACACTTATTCGAGCATCACGTTCGATAATTTACATTTTCGCCTACTAAGAGCAACCGTAACGGTCGTTGTCATTTGCGCGACTATTTTAACAGCGCACAGAGCTCTCATTTTAGTTTAAACGCTGTCCAGACTGGAGAGTTATAACATGTTATAACGGTTGTCAACTAATTCCAACACAGAAACCACCATCAAGATAGCGCTATAACATGTTATAACTCTGTAGTCTGAACGTAGTATTAGTCACTCTTCTCCACACCGGTCGCTGCTATCGCGGTTATCAATTTACTCGCCGTAGTCCGTACCGGTAGTGAGCATTTTGACATTTCTACGAATAGCAACCTTTCTCTCGCGCTGCTAAATTTGGT